TAAAACTGTCTGCTTGAAAAGTTCAGGAGAATTGAGAATTTAGGAAAATCGGAATTCAGCTGAACTGAGAATTTAAAACTGTCTGCTTGAAAAGTTCAGGAGAATTGAGAATTTAGGAAAATCGGAATTCAGCTGAACTGAGAATTTAAAACTGTCTGCTTGAAAAGTTCAGGAGAATTGAGAATTTAGGAAAATCGGAATTCAGCTGAACTGAGAATTTAAAACTGTCTGCTTGAAAAGTTCAGGAGAATTGAGAATTTAGGAAAATCGGAATTCAGCTGAACTGAGAATTTAAAACTGTCTGCTTGAAAAGTTCAGAAGAATTGAGAGTGTAGAGGAATTCATGAGAATTGAGAAATTCAGCAAAATTCCCTGCTTTGCAACTGTGAGGAAAAAGGCCTGTCACAACTTGCTTGAGATGCCATTCCTTTGCAGTATGGCTTTCCATTACAGTTAGTCCTCGACTTATGACCACAGTTGAGGCCAAAATTTCTGCTGCTAGCGAGACAGTTGTTAAGTGAGTTTTTGCCCCGTTTTAAGACCTTTCTTGCCAGAGTTTGTTAAGTGAATCACCGCGGTTGTTAAGTTAGTAGCGCAGGTGTGAAGTGAACCTGGCTTCCCCATGGACTTTGCTTGTCAGAAGGTCGCAAAAAGAGGATCACGTGACCCCGGGACATTGCGACAGTCGTAAATATGAGTCAGTTGCCAAGTATCTGAATTTTGATCACGTGATCATGGGGATGCTGCAACGGCGTGGCAAAACAACCCTCAGCCCCTTTTCCAAGTGCCGTCATAATTTTGAATGGTCACTAAATGGACCGTTGTAAGTCGAGGACTTCCCCTATCGACATATCGATCAAATTTGTTTATAATTTTTTTTAAAAAGTATAGTTTTTTTTTAAACGAATGACTTATGCTCTTGTGAAATGCCTGTTTTTGTTTTAATTCAGATCAAAAGCTGTAAGTGGAATAAAGTCTTGATGGGTGTTTTTAATTTTGCAAACTTCAACTCCCAGAATTCCCTGTTAGGCAACTGGCCCAATGGAAAACCAGGATCGGACTTTCTATTAATGGAAGGGGAATAGCTCCAATACCATCTCGGCTGCCAGGAGAGGATTTGCCATGTAGGACTGGACCGCTGACCTTAATCTGGACCACGGGTCTGCGTGATGCCCGCCAGATGGACCGGGTCCCCAGAGCCGAGAGAAATTAGTCGATAATCTTCTTTGTGGAATAAACGGATGAGAAAATGATGGGGGATGCCTCATTATGCAAAGTTGCCAAAGCAAAACCAGGATTTACTGCCCTTCTTTTTGGGAAGGTGGGATAGGCACGAGGGGAGCGGGGGGTGTCTTTACACAAGGCCTCTCTCTTGCTTGGGAGGTGCCCGTTTCTCAGGAAAACCCCAAATCTCATTCACCAAACTTAATGCGGCCCAGAGTTTCTCAAAAGCGGCAATTTTTAAGATGTGCGGACTTCAACTCCCAGAATTCCCTCAGCCAGCCTGAGGGGATTCTGGGAGTTGAAGTCTGCATGTTGTAAAATTAAAATGTGTATTTAGCCTTTCTACTTTGATCTTTTAAAAAGATTTTCTTTCCAATTAAATTTTGTTGTGTTAAANTAATATTCTAATACTCTAATATCCTAATATTCTAATAATCTAATATTCTAATAATCTAATATTCTGTTCTGTCCTATTCTATTCTGACTTTCTGCTCTTCTGTTATTGAGCTCAAAGGACCTGCACAGGTATGTCGGCAGGTAGAGAGGATGGCAGGTAGAGGAAGGAGCCGTACCTGATATACCGTCCTCCCGCTTGGAGACACGAACCGTGTGACTGACTGGCGATCCACCAAATCCAGAGCAGGGACGACAGACGTCCCGAAGACGAACCTCAGCCTAGGAAGACAGGAGAGAAATCAAAACGTTAACGTCGCCCACCTCTTGTTCTGAACATACCTTTCAAACCCGGCGCACTCAAAATGCATGTTCAGCATTTAAAAGAGAAGATGATCGGCCCTTAGTCCCCAACTTATGACCGAAGGGAGATTACAATTTTCATTGCTAAGCCAGACAGTTGTTAAGTGAATTACGCCCCATTTTTACCACTTTCCTTGCCACCGTTGTTAAGTGAATCACTGCAGTTAATTTAGTAACATGGTTGTTAAGTGAATCTGGCCTCCTAGTGGACTTGGTTCGGTCGCAAAAGGGGATCGCGTGACCCCGGGAACACCGCGATTGCCGTAAGTATGGGTCAGATGCCAAGCAGCTGAATTTTGATCACATGACCCTGGAGCTGGTGCAGCTGCTGTAAGTGTGAAAAACGGTCGTAAGTTATTTCTTCTGGGGCCGTTGTCACTTCAAGCAGTCACTAAACAAATAGCTTTAAGTCAAGGACCAGCAATAAATGGTTTCAGGGACAAAAGGGGATTTTTTTTAACCTGCATTTGGGGACCGAATGCAAAAGCATCATAATGGCTCCTTCCTACAACAGTGTCAGGATACACCGTATTGTATCTTTGTAGTATTTTAATTGTATTGTTTTATCTTTTTAATATTGTGAACTCCCTAGAGTGAGCCAGGGATGAGCTGGGCGGCCAGGAAATTTAATAAATAAGAATAAAATAAAAAGGTTGTCCAAGACAACAGAACTTTAAATCTCTACAAATGGAAAATACAGGCAGTCCTCGACTTACGACAGTTCGTAAAGAGTGACTTACAACCGTTTTTCACACCTACGACCGTTGCACCATCCCCGTGGTCACGGGATCAAAACTCGGGACGCCTGGCGACTGACTCATAGATATGGCGGTCGCAGTGTGCCAGGGTCACGTGACCCCCTTTTGCGACCTTTTGGGGAGCCAATGGGGAAGGTGGATTCACTTAACAACCAGCTTAACTGAACAGCTGCAATGGCAAGGAAGATTGTAATACGCTGAGTAACCTTTCTACCATTTCAC